AAACATCACCGGTAACCACCACCTCTGCCCATAAGCACTCTGGCCCCATGGTGATGCTTCCTGCTGCTGACACCAGGAAGGCACAAGGAAAGAACAGAGACAGACAGAGTTTGCTTCCCATGCTGCACCCTGTTCACCTGCCAGGCTGTCAGAGCAAAAGGCAAATGTCACAGCCCAGAAACACAAGCACCCCAACCCTCCGGCACAATTAGATGTCTACATGAGCTTGGAGTTAATATTGGATTCTTGCTTGGGGGTTAAAAAAAAAAAAGAAAGAAAGAAAAAGAATCCACTTGGAAAGATTTATATTTCAGCCTCCAGCAACCTCCAGCCACTTAATGACATTCCTTCTAATCAGATTCTCTGGTTTTGGCTGGGAAGTAGTCTGGGGTCCCTGAGCTGTGGGACCAAAGGCTGCTCTTCTAGGCTATAAAAAAAGCCCAGTAGCCAGCCTGTTGGAGCCTAATCCCCTGTGCATGTCTGCTTTGGTGCAAAGCCTTTTGCAGGGTGGAGAGAAGATTAAGACCTGAGGAGATGTACATGTGCTGTGAGCGTGAGCAGATAGGCACACTCACTAGGGGTTGCGCGCACTTGGCAGGTGCGTGCAGACTGTGTGGCTGGAGTCAGGCAGAAGTGGGATGTAACAGCGCTCACACTCACAATCCCATTGGTTGGAGGTTAAAGGCTCACACTTCTCTTTGAAGCTCCAACTAAATGATGAATCTGTGGCAAATAATAAACAACACTGGGTTTGCCAGCAGAGAGGAATGATGAAGAAACCAGAAGCAAGCACTGGGGTGAGGCTACGTCCCTTTCGTGTCCAGCTTCAACTCAGGAGGCAAGAATCTTCTCTAAAAATAACAATTCTTAAAAAAATAAAATAAAGGCACTGACTTCCACTCTGCTAAATGCTTCTTTGATTTGAGCAGTAAACAACCAGTTGGAAGAGGATTTGGTCCCACATAGGTGACATAATTTTCTTAAAGCTCTGAGTATCAGCTTGAGCTAAATAAATATACAAGATTAAATTGAAGGAGTGTGTCAGTTTGCAGCATGAACTCTGCATATGCAGCAGGCAAAAAATCTACTCAATCGAGGGTTTATAAACAGGGACCTACGTGTCATTGCTGACGTGACTCGTGGGACCTGAAAGTGAATGCAGAAGAAAGCCACGGTTCCCTGTTGGGAGTACAGGAACAGGACCAGGGTGAGACACCACATACCACACACGAAGCTGAAAGTGGGAATCATTCGTAATGGCTTCAGCTAACCACGTATGATGCTAAAATGACAAATGTGTCATTTAGAACCTGCTGAACCAAATATAATGACTTATATTAATCCAGACAGATTTGTCCCGGGTTATTATGCAAAGGAAGGGAAGGTATGATAACTCTAATTAAATGAAAGGGCTGGCAACAGTTTTTAACTTATGGAACATTTCAAATTTTAATATGCTCCCTGAGTTTACCTGTGGGAATGCTGAGACTGTAATGAAGCTGTTTGATTTTTATTGAGATGAAACACACACAGATATACACACATCCCAGGGGCACCTGGTTAGCCCGAAGTGTAATCCACATAATCAGGGGACTGAGAAAGCAGGCGGTAAGTGAAATTCATTTTGTGTATTCCCAAGGTGGTGCTATTCACGCCTGAATCCTATTGTCATTTCTCACCGGCTCCTGAAGAGCACCAGGGTTGGAGTTCTTGGATTGAGACCCAGCAGTCCAGCACTCATCAGTACAGCAGGTATCCTATCACTTTCCTGATTTAGTATAGTACTCTGCAAGGCTGCCAAGCGTCTCGGCTCCCAGTCCCTAGCCAACTCTCTTGGCCTTAAATGCAGGCAAATTTCAAAAGAACAAGAAAACGGCAGATTAGACATTCTGTATGCCTTCTGCGTTAGCACACGCCAAGCGCATCAGACTCTGGGCTGGAAAGGACCTTGGACAGCCCCTGACCCATCCACTCTGTAACATGGAGAGGATCGTCAGTAACTGGCCCAGGGTCACACAGCAAGAATGCAGCAAGCATGTTCGGCTGGAAAATCTTTGACTGATCTACTTTTTTATATTACTAGTTTGGTTCCTGTGCCTTCAAGATCTGTGCAAAAATCAAACATCTCAATATAACTGTAAGTAGCTCATGGACACATGGACGGGCTTGTCTGGCTGGACCTGTCACTGCTGATATAGCAAATGGGCTTCAGTAGAGGTTGTGGCGGGGCTTGCTGGAGGTGGGATAAAATCGTCAGTAAACTGCTTTGGGTAACAATGGATGCTCCAAGTGTCAGGTAAAGAGTTTTGTCTGTTTACTCCCTTCTTTAAAAACCATAAACTCTTCAGTGATTTGACTCTGAAAACTTATTTTAATTTGGGCGGGGGGGGTTGTAGCTCAGTGGGACAGTGCTTGCCTAGCATGCACTCCAAAAAGAGAAGTGAAATTTTTATTTTGATATTCTTTATATTACTCATATATATACACATTTAAGTCTCTTCTTTTCCCTTTCCCTTCCCATCACAGAAGAAAAATAAAGGTTTTAAGCTTGAAAAGACATCTTTCACTAAATGTAATGTAGTATCCTGGGTGCAAAAACAGGACATGAACAGAAAAAGGACTGAAATCTGAATTTCCCTCTTCCAGCTCATACCTCTCTACCATTAAACCCCTCAAGGGCCGTGGATTTAACTCAGCGGTTCAGTGGCCTGCCTTGCAAGCGCAAGGACCCGAGTTCAATCCCTGGTACCAAAAACAAACAAACAAACAAACAAAAAAACCCCTCAGGAGCACTGTGGCACTGGGGGGGCGGGTAGACAGGGTATACGAGTGGACAGCACCCAGGCTGGGGCAGGTAGAGCCCAGTGGAGAAGGGACCTATTCTTAATTTTGTGAAAAGGTATCAACAGCTCTCAGGTATTCTTTTCACTGTCCCTGAAGCCATCTGTACATCTTGTAATGTTGTAGTGGCCTCCTTTTTCATTTTACGCTAGAGCTGCCCTCTCCTATCCCTGGAGTTCACGTAACACAAAGCAATATTCACTTCTCCTGTTGCTTCTGAGGGCCCCAAAGGGGTCTATCTCAGGCAGATTATGTGCCTGGGACCGCCCAGAAGGGGGGCAACCATGGGCCAGGGGCTCATTCTGCCTTAGCAGCCACATCCGGGGAGAAAAAGCAGAGGTGAAGAGGGACGATGAGCTCATTCAGGTCCCTGAGATACAGGTGCCACACTTCAAGGGCGGCCCTGCTCCTACCCAGCACTCCCTCAGTGGCAGGGTGCTCTTTCTCGGGCTTCAAAATCTATGCAAGGAGAGCTGATGTCTCACTCTGCAAGCAAGAATAATAAGTGAAGGAACCAAGGCCTGGGGCTGCTCTGAGTCCCAGTTTACCAGCACCATGGGGGAATTCAGAGAGGCTTAGACAGAAGGTCCCGAGTGAGATGAAAGAATGCTGGAAAAACGAAAAGCACAGCCAAGCAGCTTGACCCTTGTGGCACGCTGGGTCTGGGAAGCAAAGTGCAGGGATAGTCAGTGTTTCTAAGGCTCAGGTTAACTGACAGCTTTTCCAAAGCCTGTTGCCTCGTGATGATTAAGTTACCCCAGTCTCTTTAAACTGCCATTAACATTGAATCCTTATATATATATATATATAAATGAGTATTTGGATCAAGTATCTTTAGAGCCTGTATTTATTGTCTAGGACCTCTAGACCTTTTAGGGTCAAGGCAAATGGACCATTTCTTTATAAAGAAAGGAATGCTATAGAAAAGGGAAAGATTGATGTTGGGGAGTAGAAAACTGTTGCATGTGATCCACAAAGAGCTTTGTCCACATGGAACCATCTACGTGATCTTTTCCCTGAAATTGCAAAGAAGTTTGTGAATGCATTCAGAGTCTCTCCAAAGGGGGCTAATAGGCTAAGAAGCAAATGAGGGAGGCCAAGGTCAAAGGCCGATGGTGGTGTCCCAGGTACACAGCCAGAGAGGCAGCTCGGCTCCTCTGGCCTCAGGTCACTGAACAGCACACGGAAAGTTGCCCCGGACCTCTGCTGCCTGGGAGTGGGCCCTTGGCAGGAGTTCAGAACACCTGGGCCGAGAAGGCAGGAGTATGGGGGGACAGTGTTGGGGTCACAGGCCAGCCCAAAGCCATAGGAAGCACGCGCAGCAGAAGCACAGCTTGTGCTGATGCTCCTTCCTCTCAAAACCCTTCCCTTCTTGCAAACAGGGGTGGAAACAGGAGGTGAATGCTTGCAGAATCCCCTGAATGCATCCAGGGACCAAGCACTACCCATCTCCCACTCCAACCAGTTTTCAACAGCCCTGGGCTAGGAGATTAGTAAACCCATGCACTTCATCTAACAGCAGGATTAAATCCCCAGAAGCTGGCTGTCATGAGGTTATTTTTCTCAATTAACAGACACAAAAAGCTCAGATATGCTCATGGGGGCCAAGGGATTTGTTTTCACCAATCAGGCAGGAGCCTCATTTCCCCCAAGGCTAGATAGGGACCACTTACCTGGTCCAGGTGCCTCAGTTTCCAAGTGGAGGACCAGCGGCTCTGAGAGGGTCATCACCTCTCCAGGGTACACAGAGGGGCCTGGCCAGAGCTCCAGGGTCACCAGACACTCACTCCTCAAGTCACTTGAGAGCTAGCAGAACTGTGCCAAAGTGAGTAACAACGGGGGGTGTGGGGACAGGCCACCTGTGTCAGGTAGAGACTATCTCTTTCAGTGCTCCTAGAATCCACAGCCCCTTTCACATTTGTAATCACACTTGAGTATGATACTATCTCCTGCACTAGCCTGGAGGCCCCAGGCATCACTATATCCTCAGTGCCTGACACCTATCCTACAAACTAGATGTTCTTGCATTAAAGTTATGAAAAACGGAGACCAGAAAGGTCGAGCAATTTGCCTAAGGACACACAGCACGGAGTTAATGAATGAGAGCACCACTCCGCCTATGCTTTGCTACTTAGGGCTTGTTCAAACCACGGCCCTACCTTGACAGCCTCCGCATGTGTCACCCGGGACAGGGATTTATCGTTGACACGCAGAATCTGGTCCCCGACCCGCAGCCCTTCCTTCTCGGCCAGGGAACCCGGCTCCACCAGGGAAACGTAGATGCCCACGCCGTGCTCTGAGCCCCCGCGGATGCTGAAGCCCAGTCCCTCGTGGGCCTTGGCGCGCCGCAAGCTCACCAGACGCACCTCCCCCGGACCCACACTGTCGGGGCCGCACCAGGAGGGCTGCCTGTAGGGGGCGTTGGCAGGCAGGTAGAGGCCCTCGGCAGTGTACTGGTCGAAGAGGAGCTGATCCGAGCGCGGGATGACCAGACGCAGCATGGGTAGCAGGCGCCGCTTGACCGGGCTGTCCAGCAGGACGCGCAGGGTGCGCACCAGGTCGAAAACGTTGCGGCGCGCGTGGTACGCATTCAGGCAGTGAGTGAACTGCTCTCGTTCCGCTTCGCTCAGCAGCGCGGTCAGCGCCTGGTGCAGCTGGCGCACGTTGGCAGATAGCAGCCGCAACCCTGCGCCTCCGCCGCC